CTCACCTGGAGTCCTGCGTTCAGCTCTGGAGCCCTCAGCACAAGAAGGACGTGGAACTGTTGGAGCGGGTCCAAAGGAGGCCTACAAAAATGATCTGAGGGCTGGAGCACCTCTCCTGTGAGGACAGGCTGAGAGAGCTGGGCTTGTTCAGCCTGGAGAAGAGAAGGCTATGGGGAGACCTGATTGCAGCCTTTCAGTACTTAAAGGGAGCCTATAGGAAAGATGGGGACAATCTTTTTAGTAGAGACAGCAGTGACAGGATGAGGGGTAATGGTTTTAAACTAAAACAGGGTAGGTTTAGGCTAGATATAAGGAAGAAATTCTTTACAATGAGGGTTGTGAAACACTGGAATGGGTTGCCCAGAGAGGTAGTGGAGGCCCCATCCCTGGAAACATTCAAGACCAGGTTGGACAGGGCTCTGAGCAACCTGATCTATTTAGTGGTGTCCCTGCTGGCTGCGGGGGGGTTGGACTAGATGACCTCTAGGTGTCCCTTCCGACCCAAAACTTTCTATGATTCTATGATTCTATAACATTTGATGATTGATATTGTTACTTTGACCAGGTGGTCAGCAGTGAAATTCTGGTATTACATTTTTATTATTAGACTCTGAAATGTCTTACCCAAGGAGATTCCAGCACACTTTCCTTTTCCTGCAATATTTCTATGCTATTACACTTTGTATTACCCTTTACTTACTACCCTTCTGCTGTATGCCCCACACTACCATTCTTATAAAGTTGGTTGCCTGACAATGCTCTCTCCTACTGACTATTCTCCTTCCGCCAGATTTCTGCTATATGTATTCTTTTGTGATGTTTCATTGATGACTTGTCTGCATTCCCCCATCGTAATTTTATGTTCCTAGCATTGGTGTAGCAGCACTAGAAAGTTTTGCTTAAGGATGTGCGAATAAATTTAAAGGTGTTTTAATGACCCTTCCTTCTTTACCCCAACTATACTTTTTATCCCCAACCACTGCCAGCCTTTCTGAGGCACGCTGACTGTTAGTTACGTCTGCCTCAGTGGCATGTTAGTCTGAACCGGGAGCTGTTCCATGCTCGTTGACTTTCCTGTGTTCTAAAGCCTTTTCAGTTTCTATGCCGGCAGCCGGGCTCTGTTACAGTTAGGGTGCAGTCTTTCCATCCCTGCAGAGGTTCCTCCTGTTCACAAAACTTCCCCAGTTCCTGATACACCTAAGTCCCTTCCCACCAAACTGTTGTCTTGTCCTTGGAGGCCTGATATCTCTTGGAAAATGGAAAGTGTCTTTTTATTCTATGGGTATAGAATACAGTGAAGACAAGAGGAGGACCAAACATTTTCAGCTTTCGGAGCTACCCATGAATCTCTGACTCGGTGTACAGAGCAGTGCAGGGGATGGCTGGAACATTGTCCTGGTGTTTTAGACAGCTGAACATAGATTGTAGCAGTCCTGAGAAACAAGAAAGTGTAAACATATTGCAGGCTCCAGAACCGGTATCGAATGTATTTCGGCCACACTAATGAGTAAGTCCATGATGTGAAAGATGTTATGCATTATAGACAAAGTGGGAACAAATAAGAGGAATGGGGAAAACAGGTGTGACTGCTGTGTGGTATAATGAATAGTTGTGGCCACTCATAAATGACAGAGCGGTGCAGCTTAGACAGAGCCCTCGAACTGGAGCGTGTCTCCTCTACAGACTGCATCAAACACGTACAAAAATACAATAGAAAATTTTGCTCTCCTACTTGAATACAGCATCAGAGACAGAGAAAGCATTTTGATTCCGTTTGATCGTATCTTCGCCTGCAGGGAACAATTGTTTTAGCGTGTGATCATGTTGATGAAATGGACACGAACATATTCTGGTATTTGTTTTCTAAACTTGAAAAGTTATCTGTTTTTCCATTTTCCTTGCAACAAATTGGTACTCAAAATCTCCAAATTGATGTAATTTTAAGGAATATAGGAGTGGTTTAACGGGGCCCCCAGGTATAACCCATGGCATTTCATGTTGGATTGTGTAAGTCTCCCCTCTAGTTCATAAGTGACTGCAGAAAGCCTTGTAAGTATTTAACCCTCCCATGCTTATAGTTAGTGTGGTAATGCCACTCTGTATCAAAAATCAGACAAACTTCAGGAACTATTTTGCTGTTATTTCAGGCAAAATAACATATGTAAGACCAAAAAGGATGCCTCAAGGATAGTTCAAAATGTTGAAGACTGAAATGTATATTACTTCTCAGGAAATTTAATGGTAATTAATGTTAAATGAGTTCTTGTTTTCTTGTCAACAGGAAGATTCGGCCGACTGCGGTGGTGTCTCTGGTCTGAGTCCATCACTGTGGTCTATGGTAGGAATTCAGTTGGTCCTGCTTTGGCTGTTATCTGGCAGCAGACACTGCCAGTTATGACCTTGCTAAACCAAAACCTGCGTAACTTAGTCAAGACCCGGCCAAAATGATAGCCTCAGTTTCATTTGAAAAAGGGTCAGCTATTCAGACAGCAGCAGAACAGCAGTGCTCGTGTCTGGTTATCACTTGTTGTGAGACTTGTAAAGGCACCCACGGTGGCTGCATGTTGGAGTGTTGGATCCTTAAACGTGTGTGAAAGCTGCATCATCTATGCCATCTGAACAGACTTCTGTACGTGCTCCATTGGGGAATCTAAGATTTTTTTATTTATTTGTTTGTTGTTGTAATCTTGATGACTTCATGTAAAAGGGCTCCCCTGACAATAGCTTATGTATATGATTTTCATTTCTTTTAAGCTTTGGATATCTTGAAGATTTCTATTCTTTTAGATGAACAGTTAATTAAAAAAAAAAAAAAAAATAAGAAAACAGGAAATGTACTCCCCGATATACATTACTAGCACCATGATGGCTGCTTTGAACATCAGTTTTGTCCAGACTAGTTAGGTAAAATGAAAATATTGGCAAGGCTTCAGAAGTTCAGCATGTTTGAAATGCTTTATGATGAGTGATTTATTCTTCCAAAATGAATCACGTAGCCAGCTAAGTTTTAGTAGGTTGATAAATTTTTAGTTTGAAGGAAGGAAAGAAGGAAGGAAAATTCTGTTTTTAAAAATATAAAGGTGCTTGAGAGCTTAACTAAAAAGTGATTCTCATCTTAAACTTGGTGTCATCTTCTGTCAGAAAAATGTTAATTTCAATGTAATATTGACTTCCTTTTCACAATGCAGTTATATATAAAGCTAGTAGAATCCTTCAAAGGCTCAAAGAAAAACACTTGTGAATAAAAAATTGTCTTTGTGATATTTGAACGTTGGTTTCCAAGGGTATTTTGCATGATGATGATGCTATGTTATTGTTTTTCAGTTTGTTTTCTTTGATGGTAGAGTATAGTCCATTGAAAAGGTAACTGAGTGATTCTTATTGTGTGAGAAACTGAACATTGCAATGTGTTGCAATTGAATCATATAAAATTATATTATGAAACAGAGCTCTGAATATACTGTGCAATGAAAAAGCTGAGAAAATAGGGTAAATTTAGCTATCGTAACAAAAGGGTTGAGTTGGATTTTTTTACAGAATAGTGATCTCACATGAAAACGTGTACAGATATTTTAAGTATATAAAAATCAGATTTAACACATTTATTTTTGGAAGTATATGTTCTCTAAGGTTCCTATCAGGTTCCCCCTTTGTTCCCTTCATATAAAAACACCCATAATATTAAAACTTCTGCTGTTGCTATTTATTAATGAAAATAGCACATTTAACAGCAAGATGTCCTGGTTGCCGAGATTAGAAAAAATCTAAACAAATGGGGAGCCTTGAATCTATATGTATGCACATTGATACTTGATTGTGAATAATAATTTTCGAAGTTGTTTTTATACAACCTCATTGGTGATACAGATTGGTGCAGTAAATTACAATATTACAATGTAGCATAGTGTTGATGCAAAATATGATTTGCGCTTTTTTCTAGTTTTCAGAACTAAACAGTATTGCAAGACAGCTAAACCAATGAATGTGCAACTCTGCTGGTATTGTACAATTCTGCTAACAACTGCAATATGCAAATATTAACATGGCACAATACACTAGCTCTTTAAAAAAAATAAGAAAATGCAAAGCATTGGTATGTATATGCTGACAGTTGATTGATACAATTTTGATCATGCCAAAAGCTTAAAGAAATAATTGGGCATGCGTTAATATCCTATGAAAACTGAAGACGCTACTCAAAAGCCGTGGCATGGCTTAAAAGATCAGATGTCTATTGTAGTTGTAGCCATGGCTGGTTCATTGTTTTTCTCATGTACCTCAGCTCCAGCTATGTATTTTCTCGTGTTTGGGAACACAGTGAGTGAAAAAATTAAAACCTGACGTTTTGTTCAGTGATCAGATTTAGCTTTTAAATAAAATGATCTCTAGTAAAGTGATGGTATTAAAAGTACAATTGACGGTGTTGGATGACTTCATGTCCTCCTCAGGGAAGGTGAGCTGATTTTGGTAATACATGTGAAGATAATCTTGGAGCTCTTCCTTCCAGTCATATTACTGCACTTCTCTTCACCCTATCACCAGTTACCACCTGATAAAAAAAATGGTTTGAGTCTTTCTAATGCTGAGACTGCATCCTGTGTTTTTCCGTAACATGGTCAATTGAAACATTATGGGAGGAACAAGTTTTGTAGGATTAGGCCAATACTTACTACACTCATAGCTTTTACTTAAAATACTTGTCAGTTTGCATTGTGCTCCTTTAATTTCTTGAAATTTTGTCAGTGTATTAAGTTCTCTCTAGTTTTCACTTAGCTCCCAAAAGAAATCCTTCATGGAAAAGTTGGATTATTTAACAGTTAGGAACAATTTGCTTACTCTGGTAGGCCATATTTTGAGTTAATGAATAAACATTTGATTAGTGTCTGTAGGCAGAAAGAAAGATGGCACAAAGCCATACTGCCACAGAAAACACCTGTGGCTTTTGCTCTCATCCCACTTCCCTTAGAGTACTCAAGTACAAAAGGAGGGAGAAGCCCATGCCGTGCAGGCACGTTAACCTTCTTCGGTTAACCAAGGAGGGAAATGTCATTTGTTCCTCTCTTCTGCCCCTCTATATGACCTGAAGAAACATGTTTCTGTGTAAAAATGAGACTTCCAGCCATTATATCCATTATACCCATAGAAAACTGAGGATCTGGCCCTTCCAGAAGGGTTTAGTACTGTCCCCATAGAACTCAATAGTTTAAAAATGAAAAAATGAAATTTTGGCTTCTTTATTTGCAGAAAGCAATGTATATTTTCATTGTATCCAAGTGATGGTCAAGATTTTTTGAAATGCACTACCTAGATATCTGCAAATTACAAAACACAGATAGAAAATTCAATATGAACTTTAGCTATCTCAAAATGTGAATACCGGTTTGTAAGAACTAATGCAGAAAAGTATCCTTACTCTCACATAATGCATACTAGTCATCTTCTTTTGTCTGTGAGAGAAGAAACTTGATCCTAGGCTTGAAATTCAGACATTTTCAAATGACAATAAGTTGTAAAAAGTTTTTTTTTTTTAAAGCCAGATAAAAAGCTCTGTTAATACTTGCTCAGATCCTTTAAATAGAACTAAGGCAACTGTTGGGACTGTTTCAGTTTACACAGAAGTCATGCAGTCTATTGCGTGTCTGACAAACAACCACCATGAAAGTTGTTACAGCATGGTACTGTGCAAACCATGATCTGAGGACTTAACATGAAAGGTTTCTTTCTAGTTTTTCATTTAAACAACCAGCATTACTGCCAAAACACTGACTGTGGTCCATATTTGTAACAGGTTTTTAACATGACATAGCAGGTTTGATTGACAAGATTTTTAGGTCCTGTACCTTTAAGACTTTAGTATGATCTTTTTCATGTTTCTAATGCTTGAAGCTTTACTGCTTAACTTGACAAAAAAGACAGTGTTGCTGCCATTTGTAAGTTTTCCTATAATATTCCTTTTACTAACTTAAAAACTGGCCTTACTGGGTTCAAATAGGCAGTATCCCTTTTAAGTGACCTTTGCAACCCAAGTGTTACTTGCTGTGGTTGAGAGTTTTTCGGTATCACTGAAGACACATTAAGATCATTTGTTCCTATTAATACTTAAGCTCAGAAAATGTTCTTAGTATGTCTTAATTTCAGGACAAAACCTCAGATCCACCGGTCCTAACAATTTGGACGCTAGCACACTGGTTATTAAGAAGTATATTAATGCCTATGAGGCACTGCAACGCACTTGGACATTTTTGGAATGTCAGCTGAAGGTGAAACCTTAATAACTCCTCCTTAGGATAAATTTTGCCCTAGCTTCATCAGACATCCAAGCCTTTAACAGAGGCCAGATTTCTTTTTTTTTCGTACCACAATGTTAATATTGTTAATACTCATTGTACACTACTGTAAAAAGATTAAAACAAAATGTCTGAAAACGATTCAAGTGTTTTGAAAAGTTAGCCTCACCCTCTTCCCAGCTACTTGCATCTGTCTTGTTTATGGTTTAAAAGAAAAACATCGTTGTGAAGAAATAATTTCACTGAGGCTAAAGGGATACTGTCTTGTTCGGATGCCATGAAATTGCGATTGTGATCTGACAAAGCTGTCTTCTCTTCTTGTGTTGTATGGAATGTCTGGATCATGCTTTCTGGGATATTTTTATTGAAATGCTCAGCGTGCATTTCTGCAAACAAAGGCTTGATTGGCTTGATACAAGGCAAGCAGGTCTTTCTCCCTTTTCTTGTGTTCTCTTGACACTTTTGTGGAACTTGACAAGCCTGGAAAAATAATTTTTTGTAAAAATTTGTACAATAATGTTATAAAAAGTTTATAATCCTAGAACTGTTGTGTTAATTCTTGTGCAAAAACAGTATATTCAGAATAAAAGTTTATCATTTAAAATCAACAACTACTTTGATTATTCCCTCTGTATAATAAAAATATATAAAGAAGTGCCTACATAATTTGCTATACAATACTTCTGAGTTTGCTATATAATTGCACCCAAGTGTCTGAAAGAGAGAGATTTTCCAATGTAGAGACGGTGACTTAATGCACTTCTTATTGGGGTTCAAAGGAGGATGCGCAGCATTTCTGCCTCTTCTGTGGCTGCGAAAATTTGAAAAAAGTTGAAAAAAAAAGTCATAACTAACAAAACCTGAGAGTCTGCAAAGCACTCAGTAAAATAATAGTTTGCAAAGCATCTGAAGTAGCCCTGTTGCTTCTGAAACAATTGCTTTTGGAAGGACTGTTGTTTACTAACTTCTCAACACTGATGAAGTCCAAGGGTTCGTTCACATGAAGAAGCAGAATAAAATCAGATGGCTCAGATGGGTGCTGCCTGAGTTGTTGCCCCACCTCTGACAAAGATTGCTGCATGACTGACAAATCAGCTTCTGTAATGCTGCCATTCTCAGCTAAGCATTAAATGCAGAGTTGATCTATGTACCTTAAGAAACAGGCCTGAGATATTCAGGAGTTGCTTCCCTGGGTTTTCAGGCTTGCTGTGGTGGAACTGGCAATCTCCACCAGAAGGGCAGGGCAGACAGCTGCAAGGGGTAACTGCTTTAGAAGCCTCACTTTAGCTGTGGACTGTGTATGTGTCAAAGCCCAGAGAGAATGGCAGTTGTAAATAAATTGCTGCTGGATTTACTGAATCCCTGAGGAGTCAGATAAGAGAGTGAGAAATCAAATGCAGATTCTAATGCTGCAAAGGAACAGATCACCCATGTGGAAATGCTAACAGGCAGCATGACACTGCACATCAGCATCCAGAGATTACTGGCCTCCACTAGATTAAACATCACCGCCTAACT